TTTAGGCTCACAGTTGTGTGAGAGAAATGGCCCTGCAGACACTTTTTTGAGTGGCATGTGGGTGGAGGGAGGCAAGCAGGGAGCCTGCCTGGGGCTCTCTGCTGTGTCCACAGGATCTGGTGGCTTGGTGGGCCAGATTTGGCCTGCAGGCTGTATTTTTCCCAGCCCTGGATAAGAGAAGCTTTATACCGAATTTGATGGTCCTAGCTCTTACCATTACTTTTTAGGAGATCTTGAGCAAATAGACTCAGGAACAGGCTGACAGGAAATGCACATTTCTAAAAGAGGGTATGTCTACACTACCCCCCTAGTTCGAACTAGGGGGGGTAATGTAGTCATACGGAGTTGCAAATGAAGCCCGGGATTTGAATTTCCCGGGCTTCATTTGCATGAAGCCGGCCGGCGCTGTTTTTAAATGCCGGCTGGTTCGGACCCCGTGCCCGCGGCTACACGCGGCACGAACTAGCTAGTTTGGATTAGGCTTCCTAATCCGAACTAGCTGTACGCCTTGTGGAACGAGGAACTAGCTGTACGCCTGTGCAAATCCTGGGCTTCATTTGCAACTCCGTATGACTACATTACCCCCCCTAGTTCAAACTAGGGGGGTAGTGTAGACATACCCATATATAGTAAAGTAACAGCCCTAGTCCCAAATACCTGGCCTTACTTATTTAACTATAACACTAAAATGTTGTTAAATGAAGACAAGACAAAAATACCAAGCACCGTTTTTTTAATAGTGCCCTTACATTTTGAGACTTGTGAGGAAGAGAAGACAGGGAACCCGGGACATGCTGCATTGCGCATACTGTTTTTCATCAGAAGGAAAGAGCTTAAGATCTTAAGTCCTTTTGTGCAAAAGCATTTTTTGCGGAAAAGTGTCCGTGCCAATCTAGACGTGCTTTTCCGCAAAAAAGCCCTGATTGCCATTTTCGCGATCGGGGCTTTTTTTGCGCAAAACAAATCTGAGCTGCCTACACTGGCCCTTTTGCGCAAAAGCTTTTGCACAAAAGGACTTTCGCCCAAACAGGAGCAGCATATATTTTCACAAGAAGCACTGATTTCAGACAGTAGGAAGTCAGTGTTCTTGCAGAAATTCAAGTGGCCAGTGTAGACAGCTGGCAAGTTTTTCCGCAAAATCAGCTGCTTTGCAGGTTAAAGCTAAAGGTATGTCTACACTTGCACCTTAGTTCAAAGTAGGGATGCACCACAGCCTTAGAGCTTTACAGGTTAAAGCTAAAGGTATGTCTACACTTGCACCTTAGTTCAAAGTAGGGATGCAAATGCAGGCATTCAAAATAGTCAATGAAGTGGGGATTTAAATATCCCGTGCTTCATTAGCATGATCTCGCCGGTGCGCTAGTTCGAATCACAGCTGATTTGAACCAGGAAGTGCGCGCTGGGACGCGTTAGTTCGAACCAAACTCCTTGGTTCGAACTAATGTTACTCCTCGAAAAACGTCCCATGCAGGCAGCTAGTGCAGCTTATAGAGGGTACTGGTTTTATGTTCTTGAAGTGAAGTTCCACTTAAATAGCAGGCAGCTGCATTCTGCACCTGCTTCCGACTCCAAGTGATCCCAGGATGTAGAACTGTATGCAGAGCACATTGCAGCCTTCAGATGAGAAACCCATGATTAATTATTGAAATTGGATAGAAATACATGCACACAAATGAAAAACTGCACTCTGCTCCAGCTACCAGCTGGGCATCAAGAGCAGACTTTTGTATCATGCAAGATCACATAAAAGGCTGTTATAAGGGAGAGGGAGAAAATTATTGCTAAGTTCTGAGGATAGGATAACAAGCAATGGGCTTAAATTGCAGTAAGGGTGATTTAGGATGGACATTAGGAAAAACTTCCTAGCTGTCAGAGTGGTTAAGCACTGGAATAAATTATGTAGGGAGGTTGTGCAAGTTCCATTATTGGAGTAGATTAGACAAATACCTGTCAGCGATGGTCCAGATAATACATAGTCCTGTCATGAGCTCAGGAGACTGGACTTGATGACCTCTTGATGTCTCTTCCAGTCCTATGGTTGTATGATTCTATGTTTTGTTATGCAAGATTCCATAGATGTGGTAGACTGTATGATTTTATGTTTCATTATGCAAGATTCCATAGATGTGGTAGAGGTAAAACGTGGTTACTTTGAGAGTGAATCTAAGCACAATGACTTTTAGGAGCTACTGCATCAAGGGGTCAGTGGCCCCTACATATCAGTTTGGAATCTGTTCAAGCCATCAACTAAGTGGTCTACTGGCAAGGTACATGATTTCAATATAGCCACTAGGCAAACCAGGAAAAGCAGAAGGGAAAATATCAGAGTCATTCAGTCTTCCAAAAGTGATGGAAAGTATAACTGGTGTAGCTAACAGTTACATACTTTGATGACAAATTCAAATGTGATTTTGATGGAGGTGTTTGTTTATATATGACTGACTTTTGTTCAGTGACTCAAATAACCCTGAACTCTTAGGAAATTGTAATAATGAGGGAAAAAAAGCCTACAGAGCCTTGGATCACATGGTCATTGCTACAATATGGCTCATGTCATAGTGACAAACAGGCACCCTTCAGCTGTTCAGAGCCCTATGTCAAAGGATTTCCTTACATCTCAGTACTCACCATTCTTCATGCACTGATGTCTATCACAAAACCCACTGCCACAACAGACCCTGACTGGCATTCTCATTTTCGTGTCAAAGGAGAGGCCAAGTACTGAACAAGAATGAAGTATAAATTGAATTTTTAACAAGGTGTGATTCTTCCAATTCAGGCCCAAGGCCTCCTGGCAGGGGAGGAACAGCTACGCTTCACACAGAAGAGTTTGGTACACTCTTCAGTGACCTAGGAGTGCTAACATGCTCTGTGATTTTTTTAATGGAAAGTTTAAAGTAGTCTATTCCTCTTTCTGCTCTTTTATTGGGTAATGTGAAACGACTTCGATTTAATAATTAAAGGCCAGCCTGTGCCCAGCATTGGCTACACAAAAAGGTAGGGTAAGTGTGTAGAATCTCATATCACTGTGTAGCTGCTGTACATAAGTCTCTGTGCACACACAGGGGACAAGGCACAACTAAAGGGGGTGTGGAGGAAGCAAGAGGAATTATTGAACAACTCCTGAAAAGTTGTATCACCAGGTGCAGGTGCATTCACTTTCTATAGGCAAAAATTCCCTATTTCTACAAGTTCCTTTTGGGGGTGCTGCAGCTTCTTTATCATCCCCAATGCATGTCTGGACCCTGAGTATTTTTTTAGCATAATTCAATAGACATATTGATTGTGGCCATCTGAGTCTTCTTTTAAAACACGTAGAGCTTATGTTTCTTTCAAGTAGTTTAAATTAAACATGGGTGTGGAGAGACTGCGACTATGTAGTTTAATAATTAAAGATACCATCACAAACATAGTTTGCAATCTGCACAGTGCTTTTCTCTGGCCACCACTATGTTCAACTTAAGAGAAAAAGCTTTGAAACATTTAAAGAGTGTTAGGATCTTCTTGATGAGAATAATGACATGAACCACATTCACTGGAAAGCTCTGACTGCATTAGGCATCTGGCCTTATAAGGTATTATTATTAAAAAAAAGTGAGTCTGAATATAGTCATAGCGTATGTCTGTATTTTGCCCCCATGGAATGAGGTGTAACAGTTAACTCGAACTAATTCCTTAGTTCGAGTTAACGTTTGACTGCTGCATGTAGCCGCGGGCAGTTAGTTCGGACTAAGGGGATTTAAAAATGGCGCCCGGACGGAAGATGCAAATAAAGCCTGGGATATTTAAATCCCGGGCTTCATTTGCAACTTCAAATGCCTACATTAGCCTCCCTAGTTCGAACTATGGGGCTAGTGTAGACATACCCATATAGCCAATGCCTATTGAATAAGAAATGCTTGACCTTTTAAATATCAGTGGTGGATACCTTTCAAATATAAACTGCTAGTTTCATCTCTAGGGCTGATCCTCAGCTGGTATAAATGGCCATAGTGTCATTTATACTAATTGAAGATCTAGCCCTCTGGCTTTTAAAAAAAAGACTACATGGCAAAAGAAATATCCTATACTATGAACATTCAAACATTTGGTCAGATTTCTTTTCTGAAAATATTGTCTCTGACATATTGGAAGAGCAGAGAAAGATGGAAGTTTTACCTTGTTCCCTCATTTTAGTCTAGCAAACTGGATTTCTAATCTTTCCTCCCATATTCAAGTCTCTCTCCCTTTCTCCTGCCTCATCCTCCTCTACACTACAGATCTCAGCTTTGGAGCCATTGTTGACTCCTCTCGTCATTTCTCTCATCACACCTAATGTGACACTTCCCAGGACTAACCAGGGCTGTGAGGCACCCCACTAGTCACTATCATCTGCTCTTACCATGAGGAAACCCTGTCTATGCATGCTATGGATCAGCTGCCCCCTCAAGGCTGTGCAGGTCCTGCTGTTACTTTATAGGTTAGTAATTAGCACAGTCCAACCCTTGAGACTTCCATGCTTCTCCCTCTGGCATCTCCTATCCCTGGTCCACTGGACACTTGAAATGTTCACAGGTTTGCTACTTCTAAAGAAACCTTGAATTGTAGCTTTCACGTCAGCAACTTTCACATCAGACCGTTGTTCCACTTAACACAGAGCACTTAGATTTGTACAGCATGAAAACAAATATAAGTTTATTTAATAAAGCATAAAAAATCAAGTAGAATATTGTATACAAATGGTTGCATATAAAATAAAACCATATCATTCATTCTAGAGCCTAGACTTAATTAACAAGACCTCCTTCATGTCTTGCTCACCCCAAATCCTTTCAGCACTTCATAGCCTGTTAGCTGTGACCCTCCTTTCATGAAATAAATATGCATTCAGTTTGCCTAATATGTGAAAGATTCCATGTGTCTTCTTGCATTTCAGGATATAACAGAATAATTTCTTCTCTTTATCATAAACAGAACAACCCCTGCTGTATATTTCATCTTGTAAATTTCCTTTCTTGTAGATTTGCAATCTTTCATTCTGCCCCGGGCTCAGTATCCACATAGGAGGCACACAATATAAAATATACAAAAGCACCTACTGCCTAAAAGGAACATTGCTGAGGTATGTCATTTCCTGGTGACTTTAAGAACACAATTTTCAATATAGATGTGTAATGTGTGCACGCATCATAGTGGTTATGACAACCAGTGGCTATGGGCTGTTCGTAGAGACCTCACATTGTAGGATTGAAGAATGAAATCATCCATTTAATGAATTATATCTATCAATATCATGTTATGTAACCTCATGGATTATGGAACAATTTTTTTTATTAATAGAATTTTATAAAAGAAAGAGGGTATTTGTTAGTAACCTGCTAACAATGGCATTTGAAGAATCTGTTACTGTAACTTTTTTATATATTGTAAATAAAACCCATTTAGAAATGATTAGTCCATTTGAACTAAAGTGACTCCATATTGTAACTGAAACCCTATTTTAAACTTTGAACTGTCTTACCTAACTTGAAACAGACTTATGTGTCTGCAACCTCATTTAAAAGTGCGTGTGTGTGTGTGTGTGTGCGCGCACGCGATGGGGTCAGTCCTGGACGTCAGCCTGTCTTAAGGGCCAGCTGCTAGCACCACCTTGATGAATAATGTGAGCAAGCCCCACAAAAGAACCCACCCACCCAAGAAAGAAAGAGACAAAACCACATCCAGAAAAGAAGATCAAAGTTGCATCTGCCATTAACTGATGACTCATGGTCATACAGTGCCCCCAGGCAGTGGGACAGAACAGGCTCCATGGACTAAAACATATAAAAAGATGGGTGCAGAACTATACGATTGGGTCTTTTGGTTCTATCATCCTTTGGGAGCATTGGTGTGCACTGACATGACCTGGCTCCCCTCCTCATGTCTAACCACCTGGCTAGTGGACTAACATGCACAGCTGAGGCTGGTAATTATGTCCCATCTGTAGAACTGTGTGTATGAGTGTCTGTATGTGCAGTGAATAATTTTAGTAGTTAGGGACCGTAAATGAATTCTGCATTCACAATAAATGCTGCATATTGCTTTATCCCCTAAATAAGATTCCACTAGTAATATTTCTCTAAGTGTAACAACACGCAACCTGTAAGTGAACTATTACACTTATGTCTGACCCAAGGGATATCTGCCTTCTGCCAGCTGGCACCCAGAAGTCAATGGGTCACATCAGGCTCTTGCCAGTTTCTCTTACTACTGCCTCTATAACAGCACCCAAATCCACTTCATCCTTTCTATCCTCATTGCCTAAACTCTCATCTGTACCTCACAATCAGCCTCCTGTGGCTGTTCTCAATGGTGCTCCGGTAATGAAGGCTCTAGATGCCACAATCAGCACACTCCACCCCATTCCCTGCTGTTCTCACCATCATGTTGCTGGAGAAGAGAGATTTTTCCATAAATATTTGTGTGTGAAGAAATAAAGGGCAGGAGATGTAATTGGTTTACACCCCGAGCTCTAGTACCAGCTGTCACTTGTAGCAGGTATAGAAAGGATTCACAGTTGGACAACAAAAATGACTAGAAGCATGGAATGACTTCTGAATAAAGAAAGAATGAAAATAATGGGATTGTTTAGTTTAGAGAGAAGATAATAACTGGTATAGGACTCTCTGATTTACCTTCTTATACCTACTTTTTCACATATACAAGAACAAGAGACAATGAACGAAATTTAAAGGAAACATTTAAACTTAAAAATATACTTTTAATAGCTTTCTATTTAATATTATTCAATCACATATGACACATCTTCAGGAAATACAAAAAGGAAAACACACACTAAATAAAACACTACCACCCTCCATATAAAAATGTCAGTCATAACTTTACAAAAAAATCTCTTTATTGGCACAAAGCTAAAATGGCATAATATTCAGAGATTTAATTACTACCAGGGTTTGAGGAAAATATTATAAACATTAACCGTTGAGATGGTGATCTATCAATAAAAAAAAAAATCCAATGTGCTCTCAGAAGCTGGAAAACTCTTCAATCCACAAAATGAGGTAGCTCTTTCAATACTCTACATTTATGTCTTGTGCAAGGGTTCGTGTGCAAGAACTCTTGCGCAAGAACATGTCCACACGGCCATGTGCTTTTGCACAAGAGCATCCATGGCAGTGTGGACACTCTCTTGCACAAGAAAGCTCTGATGGCCATTTTAGCCATAGGGATTTCTTGTGCTGTGTGACGGGGCAGAGGTGCCCCGCACTGAGAGCCCCCGGCGGACCGCTTGTCTGGCGGCGCTTGGGGGAAAGCCGGAGAGCCCCGAACGGGGCAAGCCGCGTCTGGTGCTCAAGCCGCAAACCGCTGCAGGAAGCCCGGTGACGTCACCGGACTGGTGACATCACCCGGCAGGCATAACTCTGGGCCAGAAGTCCACCCGCGCCGCGCTGGGCGGGGCCCTGCCGGCGAGTCATGGCACAGGGATTTAAATGCCTGCCAGGGAGCGGGTGTGGGGGGGAGAGTGCCGAGAGTGCTTACCCCCAGGACCGGACAACGGATGGGCCCAAGCCGCGGAGGTAGGCTTAGACTCCGTGGGCCAACTCCGGGTGGGGAGAGGAAGTAGCCCAGGGCGGGCAAAGGGAGCCTGTGGACTGGCGCGTTGCAGCTACGGCCCCATCAGTCAGACCGGACAGGTAACACGTCCGAGTCCTTAGGGCCCTGGGCTGGGGTCCGTGAGAGAGGGCGGGCCCGGACCCCCCTCTCCCCAGCAGCGAGAGTAACGTGCCTGACAGGTCTCGGGCAAAGTGACAATACTGTTGACTGGGATGCTGAGAGGCGATCTTAAGGGGGACGGAACCACGGGACTGGTGGGTGAAGGGGGGCACGTTTACATGCAGGAAACCCCTGCTGTGCATCCACACTGCTCTCTTGTGTAAGAGCTGTTGCACAAGAGAGCTTACACTTGTTAGAAAAGAGTGTAGCTCTTGCACAAGAAGCCCTCTCTTACCACACTTTACTGTAAATTTTCTTGCGCAAGAGCGGGCGGGCAATGTGAATGCTCTGTGGAATAACGGCCGTTCTTGCACAAGATCCCACCAGTGTAGACATAGCCCAACATTCTCTGGTCCAGCAACATCTGTGGTCCAGCCTGACCATGGATGTTGTAGGATCAGAGAGTCCTGGCATGCTGCAGACGGGAGGTAAGCTGGGAGGCAGTGTGCAGCTCAGCTGGGCTGCAAGGAGGAGCTCGGAACCTGCGTGTGGCTCAGCTGGCTGTGAGGAGGGAGGAAGGTGGGTAGGGAGCTGGCGTGCAGCTGAAGTGGGCTGTGGGGGGAGCCGGGAAGCCTGGTGGAGGAGGATCAACTGGGGGAGGGAAGGTGTGGAAGCATGGGGCCTGAAATAACCTCTCCTGATCTGGAAAAATCCCTCCTCTGGGACCAGTCAGGTTCCCTTGGGGTGCTGGACTAGGGAGGTCTATATAGATGTGATCCAAAATGGCAACTCTTAGGTTCCAATACTCTTAATGAAACCAGTAAGGGCTGACACTCAGATAAATGCTCCCATTCTGCCTCAACAGTACATTATGGCTGTGTCTACATTG